TCATCCAGTTATGAAAGGTTTTGTCCTGATTGTCACAAAAGAAGCCAATGGTCGTTTTCAGTCTGCTCTCACCTGTGTTTGGATATATAATTTAAAGGTCTGAAATTCAAATAGAAGCCAAGAATGTTGAGTTTCAAACCTGCTTGTAGGGTAGTACTCCTTTGGATAGTACACATTGTATTTCTCTATTTTTCTGAGAATCTATTCTCTGTTGCTTAAAATAGTTCTATCCTTACGCATCTAGAGTCTAACTCAGAACATCAGCTGAAGCTGTGAAGTCACTGGAACTAAAGCTCATGGCATGTGTTTTCCTGAACCTTGGCCGTACTTGCTAATTTCAGAAAGTGTTGTGCAGGTCTCTGATGGAAATCTAAACTTTGTAACATTGCAGCTGGTTTAGCTGTAGTAGATTATTATGTGTTCTTTGCTGCCTTTAAAATATCATGATAAAGTCAAATATGGGAGCCAAATCTATCCACATGCTCGAAAGTGAAAAGGTTATAGATCTGTAAACTACTGAACTGTTTTCAAATTGTGTTAAGCTGGACTGATATAAAATTAACCATGCTGCTTTATTTGGTAGTGCCAACTGTACACATTTACTCTCCTAAAATACTGTGTGTAGTCTGCAAAAATAAATTCCCCAGAACAGAAATATAATGCAATCCAAATAACTAGTTTTAAAAATAAATTGAACATGAAATAACAAATATGGATGTAGCCAACACTTAGGGTCCAGAATTTACTAGAAAGACACACATGGCTTGTATTTATCTTTCATGAGTTTTCAAGATTGATACTCGACAAATTATTTCTCTATCTGGGTTGTTTTAGTTTACAAGGGTTTTCTTAGCCCTTCTGTCTTCACTCATACATCAATGTGAAAGTAAAGGAATAAGTATTTTTGTTGTAGGATTTTATTGCATGGTTCATAGAAACTTGGAGGAAAGAGATCCTTCTTTTTTATTCTAATCTTATTCAGTGGTTTTGGTTTTAATCTTAATCTTCTATAGATTGTTGTGATCTGAATCTATTTGGAAACAGGCAGAGGATCTGCCACCGCTGTTTTAAAACACCAATGTAGGACAATTTGGGTCTTCACTTGACTCTCTCTCTATAGTATTGTCTGCTCGGTGATAAAGAGTGTTTTGGCTCTCACTGTGTTTTTATTAAGGTAGGGTATAAGCATTATAAATAAATGAAGCCATGTCTCTATCAGCTGTATGAAACAGACCTTAAAACGTGAACAGGTTGTAACTGATACAGAGATCCAGGGAGAACTTTGGGTGTGGTGTGAGCTACTTTGTTCCTCTTTGACACAGGAACTCTTGAATGCAGGAGTGAAAATTTAGTGCTGTTATTGTTAACCATTTCAGTCCTCAGGGAAGGGCAAACAGCAACAAAAGAGACTCGGAGCTCAGAACTTCGTTAAGTAATGAAAAGCCCAAATGTCTAGAGGTTTGTTGTGTATGAGATGGTACAAATGACTGTGAAGAAACTGACCAAGAAAAAAAATATGAACATTCCTTCTTTTTGGATGTCTAGGCCAAGATCTGGAAGTCCTTGTTTAGGATGTCTTGTTCTAAGATCTGACTGTAAATACCAGTGTTATACTTGCATAGTCTGTAATGGCATCTGTGGCTAATCACTCCTAAACTTCTAAAATGTTTTTCATTCTCTTAAATTGCATCCATAATAGAAAAATGTAGACCCAAACTCATATCCCTGCTAATAGTGGTTCACTAAAACAAAGAAGAAGCCATGTTTTTCCACAATGCATAGAAAATCTGTCTCCACAGTAACAAAGTTGGGCCTGCCTTATAAGGGGTATAAGAACAACTCTAGTATCTATTTCCCATCCTTTCCTTTCCTTTCCTTTGCTACTTTTCTACCTCTAAGGCTTGGAGTCCCAGGATTAAGACAGTCCCTCCCATTCGCCATAGAGAATGGCATGACAGGCATAAAAAATTTAGGCAAAGTGTTGATTTTGTTGTTATTGTTGAAAATGTCAAAAATGGCCTATTGCATAAATTACTCTGAAGATTCTGTGTTTTGAAGCACTCAGTTAGTTCATTAGAGTTTTCAATCAGCAGCACAGTGCTGTGCATCTCTCTGGATGGGGTTAAATGACTGACAGTGTAGGAGTTGTGGCAGTCACTCCAAACATTCAGGGGTGTGGAGTATTCAGCGCTCATTATATGGAATGAGATGTTGAGTGTGGGTACAGCACTTTCTCCCCCATGGCTTTGCTGTGTTGGCAGCTTTTGAGTTAATCGTTTCCTCTCAGTGGAGGGATGTGATGGCCTCTTCCAGCGTGGATGATTTTCACTTGTTTGAGAAAATCTGGTACTGTTTGGTCTTTCACTTGTCTCACGTGACTCATCCAGCTGCCAGTAACAGCGTTCCATTTCTCAGTGTTGTCGTGGTAAATTTTGGACATCACATCCAAACAAAACCAAGAATGGCAATTTTTTTTTTTTTTTTTTTAACAAGAAGTAATTAGAATGAACAGTAAAAAAAAAAAAAGGCAAATGGCCTAGTTTGGTCTTTGCCACAAAACCCACAACTCTCTGGGGATATCTAGTATGTTAGGCAAATATTTAAAATCTGTCTCTATTTCGAATGTGAGTCATTTCAATTAGACATCTTTCAGTTATTTGTTCATTGGTCTTAATTAGGTAAACTCTAAAGCACTGCAACATGCGTTTCTTGTTGAATAATTACCCTTTTGATAAGTTTTCTTGCTCTTATCTTCTTAGCCTTAATAGCTAATTTTGTCAGTAAGGGTAAAGCCTTCCTGAATGATAAATAATGTATTCGTTAAGGAAGAAAGAGAGCTATTGCCCTTTGGTAGGGGTATTTTAAATGTTGATCTCATTGTTGGACAAACAGGTTTACCTTTGTGTAAGGAAATGTTCTGTTTTGTTCTAGAAGAATTTACCCCTAACAAGAAATGTAGGGCTGACCCTACAGGTTCTGACCTGAGCTGTCCTTCCTGAGGTGTGGAGCCTCATCACAGTCCATGGGACCAGTTCTCACGTGACTTAATCTGGCATAAATCAAGAAAAAAACTCCCCCAAAGTCAGTTACCCCAGAATGAAAGAAGCACGATATCCAAAATTGAGCTAACTTGATTACTCATATGGAAAGAATTGCCTGATTGCAGCCTTTGCACACTACTGTATCAACTCCTTCCGTTCCCTCATGAACACTTAAATGTGAAGATATAAATCAAAACTGCAGGACACAAAAAGACAAAAGTTACCTTGATGGATTCCACTTCCATGAGATCCTTCTGGAAACCATTCTGCTTTTATTAGATTTACTCTCTGTAAATTAGGATTAGTTTTTTATATGGATTTATGGAATGGCTATGGTATAGTGCAAGCGGGGTGAACCCTCTGGTCCAAGGCAAGGGAGTGTGTGCTCTTTTCATGTGTTATTGGTAAGTTACAGAATGTAGGTTAAAGGCCCCTTGATACCAGTGAAAGAAGAGATCTGGTTCCAGGCATGGAAAGTGCTTAAATCTTACGTGTGCCAGCCAGTGATATTAATATTGTATAGAACAGCCAGTTGTCAAAGGGCCAGATTCTGTTCTCAGTTACAGTGGTGTAAAGTGGACTTTTTCCCTTTTCTTCAGAGGTAATGAATTCGCTTTCACATGTGCTTGCACACTTGAACACTTGCGCTGTCTGTGTTCGGAGATAATCTCACAGTTCTTTTTTTAGTTGCTGTGGGGGAAAAAACCCATGAGCTGCTGCTGCTGTTGTTCCTTGTCCATCGTTGTTCCAGCTCACATGTGGCGAGCACATTTCAGAGGCTTTGGTGCAAGTGCAACTGCTCTCAGGGCACTGTTGTGCAAGAAATTTTTAGTTCTTACTAATGAATCTGTAAGGTACTTTGTGAAGGCAGATGGATTGGCTGAAACAGAATTTCGTGGATTTAGCATAACTGTTCTGTTCCTTTGCAGAGAGTGAATGTGTTCTCTGATTTAACAGCTACAAGAGAAAATAATTATTTTTGACAGCACAGGGATAGTGTTCATGTTATTCTAGGAAATCTCTGTCTTCACATAAACAGGTATTAGTGTGTGCTACAGTTGGTATTGCTGAGCTTTGGGGGAAGCTTCAGGTTTCTGTGTTTTGATAATATGATAAAATTGGTAAAGTACATATTTAGAAAGCCCTAATGGATTTCAGACTTATGTCATTTGGGGAATGAAAGAAAGTGTTTTATTACAAGTCCAGAATAAATCTTAAACACTTTGAAAGGATCTACACTGTTTTGGAGAAGATACATCTTGACTGTATTCCAGATAATTCTGCTGTTGGAAAGAGAGGAACTGTGAATTGGGTATTGTAATATGATTGATTTACCATCTTCTCTTGGTGGTGTGGTCTTTAAAAACTTATTCACAGTGTTCAACAGTGTATTTAGATACCCTTTAAATGTGATGAATCTACCCCAATTAACAGTCAAAAGTCCTGTTATACAGTCCCGCTAAGGTAGGTATTAACCCTGGAGCTAAATTACGATGGGATAAGGCCAGAATAGGAATGGAATAAAGCCTGATGGAGCTGTAGACTCCAGAGGATATAATGATAATTTATGTCATGGTTACACACAGGGCAGAGCTGATAGTCAGAAAGACCCCACAGTAAGCTGAAAGACATCCAAAGTGATCTTCTTAAACACCTCAGTTCAAACCCACCAAATACAACTGACTGTGCAGAAGATGTTTAATTTCTGTTTGATGAGAAATAAATGACCATAGTTCACAGATCCAAATTCCTAGGCAATTAATTTTTGCTTCCTTGTGAAACCTTTCATTTCCGCTGCCTTGTTGTAAATACGGGAATTTTGGAAGCAAATCCAAAATGAGTTTACAAAGTAGTTGCCAGTGGAGAGAATTCTTAGTCAAAGCCTTACCTTTTTTTTTATTTTTTTTGACAGTGAACGGTGGCTACAATCACTGCAGTTTGATCTCTGAGAAGAAGAACATGATGGACATGGAGATGACGGGTAGCTCGGTGCCTGTCTGCAGGCAAGGTCTGTTCCTCCACACAGGGAACTCCCTGATGCGAGACCACGCGCTGTCCCGGGAGAGGCTGCTGCACATGGGCCAGCTCAACTTGGCACACTCGGATCTCAGGTACCGCTCCAGGTTTTACCAGCTCGTGCCCTTGGCTCCACCCATGGTCTCACCAAATTACTGCCTGGGAGGTAGGGATGACACTCCCAACCCAGTGTCCCCCACACAGTGATTTGGCGTGCCACCATCAAACCTACAGGATGCCTGTGCCACTTTTATTTCTACAGCATTTCCCTTAATGAAGTATTTGCAGAGTTCCCATACAGCCACATCCTTGATATTTGCTTTTAAGGCCATAATGTGAAAATTTGGTCTCTGGTTTTGATATATACACTGTAGTTGAGTATGCTATGAACAGAATCTCTATTTAAACATTTGCTATAAATTAATTACTTGAAAACACAGAACTCCATTATTTTTTTTTTTTGTTGTTACAATTTTAACATTACCAGATTTTAAACAAGTACCCTAAACAGACATCCATTGTGAATAGAAACCTGCTACAAATTAAAATCTGTCCATCTGTTTTAATTATTCTGCTTTTTGGCAGTGGGTGCAATAGGAATAATCTTGACCTTTTTGAAGAGCTGTGGAAGAGAAAAACCTCTTTAAAGTTGCAGCCTTTATCTTAGGTACTTGGAATATTTGGCGCTCTGTGGATGGACCTAGCAACCTGAAATTTCCATAGTCACAGCAAGGAGAAATATAGCTAGTTTGGTCTTGAAAATCTGACTGTTCCTGATTTTATTATACATATTCATGCCTTGTTTCCCCTTTTCAATTTACTGGTGGGCTAAGAACATCAGTGTTTTCAGGAAGGGGAGGCATGGTAATGTGGCAAGCAAGTGGAAAGACTTCTTTTGCATGTTTGTTTGCTTGAAAAGGATAAATAATATCCATGCCACAACAAAATAATCCATTATTGCTACAAGGATTTGTAGGTGCCTTTGCAGCAGGATGTAAATCTGCTCCCTCCTGGTTTCTTTATGGCTCTGTGTGGGACTGGTAGTTATCAACCTTTTTTTTTTCATTCTGTCAGTGAGGACAATTATGAAACAAAGATAATTAGGGCAGGAGCAAACAAAAGGAGGAAGAGAATACTCTGCTTAGATCTTTTTGAATCTTTTTGTAAATTTTATAATGAGGAAATGACAGATACCTTCATGCCTGGCATCACAGTACCCCCACCCTCAGAAATATGAACCCCTTCCAGCCCCCATTTGGAGGAGGATTCCCAGAACAACATAAAGGATTGTCTGCTGCACAACATGAGAAAGTAGCAGGTGATAGGCCTGATTCCCTCCCCTCTGCTTTGTGGCATGGTCTAAAGCCTTGAGACTCTGCTGCCTCTGAATTTGGAAATGTTTGGAGAATATCCTGAAGGACATTACAGGTTATTTTGTGTCCCACTGGTCATGCGCTACTTGTATGTCCACCTGGCTAATAGTGCATTTGTCTGCATGGGATTGGCAAGATGAAGCCAATGCCCAGCTCTGCTGTGTGGTCCTCACAGACACAGTATCTCCTTATATCACAGTGCCTTTCATGAGACACATGGCACAGAGCCTAAACTTTGGCATTTGAGAGAAGGTGGACAGCATTTCAGACCATTTCTGTTTGTGTTGTTTGTGCTGCTGAAGATTCTTGACAAGCAAGTAACAGAAAACATAGTCTTTCCCTGAAGATCTGAGAACAGGAGAATGTGATGCCCAGGAGAGGAGTGAAGTCAGTGGGAGCCAAGGGTGCTCTGTGCCTCCCCAGATCTCAGCCTTCTTCAGAAGATGGATGAGAGAAGCTGGGCTGGAATTCAGATAGTGGAGCACATGGACATCAGGGCAAACTCTCGTTGGTTGCTCTGCCCAGCTCTAACGACCAGCACAGAAATAAAGGGAGACACAGAGTCACAAACCTCTGTGTAGAACTTTGAACGACTGTGCATTTCTAGGCTATGGAAAAAGCTGAACAAACCAGGGAGCACCTCCCCTAGCAATCAAAAATCTCCCTCAGGGTTTGGATTGCCTTTGTCCTTTTTTTCACTTTAGTGCATTGAAACTTGTTATCCCTTTCAGCTTCTCCCTGAAATTGTTTTCCCTTGGCATTTGTATTTTAGGGATGACCACCTTAGTCCAATAATCATGATCCCCTTTTCCCCACTTCGTTAATAACTTCTAAGCTGTGCAGCATACTTGCTGCTACATTCTATCTATGAATGCAATGTGTGTGGGACTGGAAAAGTCCCAATACCTTCCTCACCACAACTGGAGGCAGCACACAGCTAATGCTGGCCTTTTGTCAAATAATCCATTATCAGCCACGGCAAACCCGCCCACACTGCGCTCAGTGCTCAGCATGTAAAACCCAGGGAAGACATCAGAGCACTCGGATAGTGTTGCACGGGGTCCCTGGATGTGCAGCAGAACAATCCCTTCCAGCTTCTTAAAACTGTCAGTTACCACCGGGTGCACATTTCCAGTGGCAATTGAAGGCATGTATGTTTTGTAAATAATCTGGAGATTTCAGATACAGTCATCTTTTCCTCTGAGGGCAGTTGGGAACTGCAGCGCTTCTGGCATGGTGCTACTGGCCTCGTGCTCTGGCTCCAATTACCACGTAAGGGAGTCTCTTAGGAAACACTGCCTCAGTATCCTTTGAGAGGCTGCTGTTACTCTTCAAAGGCCTTACACTCAGCTTTCAGGAGCTTAAGCAGCAACGCTGTTCCCTTTGACTGTCCATCCCTGATGCGTGGATGCTCCCTTTGAAGAGAGGTTTTTGGGGTATTTTCTTCTGCTGACTCTCTTTCCAGGATTGGTTATCTGGAAGGCCCCCAGAGCTGCTGTGGTTGATCCATGTGTCCACAGTGCTCCTTGCACTGCCCTGCTCCCCTTTGTCCCTCTCATCTTACCTGTTTATTTCATATGCATTTACATTTGGCTACTGTCCAGAGATGGTGAGATCCTTACAGCCAGCACAGCCTGTGGGTACCAGGCCTGGAATCTCCACCCCCCCCCCCCCCCCCCCCAGACAGGGAGGAATGAGCAGGGCTTGCCTTGGAATAGTGTTGGCAAAGTTCTGCCAAGAATACAGGAACTTTGTGTTAATGCAACCTTGACATCAGGTACCCCAACACTCAAACATCAGGAAATTGAAGGAATGTGAGATTTCTCCCAGCAGAGTTAACTAAATTGGGATGTATAATGTATATAAATATACAGTGCCACAGAGAAAACTGCAGATCCTGGAGAGGACTAGGTTCTGATCTGCACAAGCAGCCTGTGCTTATCATTTTGTAGGGAGAGCATGCATAAGACACATCTGTGACAACTGGAAGCATGACTTCAGTGCCTTCATCTCATCTGCTTTTGAAGTAAGGCATTCTAGTTTGCCTTGTGGTTCAAAACTCTCTTTTGTGTATCTCAGAATCTGTGCTGCCAACGTCACATCAATAGAGCCTTGACTCTGAATAAGATCCTGTGCTGGAAATGCGGGTCAGTGTTCCTGAGGATACTGGAAATCTGGTATTTCTCAGAACAGGGATGTTTGTATCCATCCTGCAGGTACTCTGCACTGACTCCAGCTTAGTCAAAAACCAAACTTCTTTCATAGATTTCTGGCAAGATGGAAGCTTTACATAAAGCTTAATAATACAACACCAATTATCACAGGCTGAAATGTAAGGCTTGGGTTAGCTTTATATGATGTAGGAAATGTGTTGTGTTTACTTTAGCTGAGGCTTTGAGACCACTAAACTATGATACAAACTGAATTACTTAGAGGAGTTTTTGTATAGCAGAAATCAAGTAATAGGAAATGCTGTGCCTGGCATGGCATGCTGTAAAGCCTGTTTCAGAATGAGTTTAAAACACTAATCTTTCTACTGAGCAAACATAGCAGGGTTTCCCAAACATGTGCAATAAAAGTACACTTATGCCACATATTTTACAGACATATGGTTCTGTAAATGTTAAAAAATAATGTATGAATGCTGTTGGGTTTGTTTTTTTAAAATATAAATTTACCATCTGCAGAAACAGGTGCTTGAAGTTTACCCTGAAACCAACTGTGCAAACCTAAAGGGAAAAATTAAAAGCAATGGTTATGGAAACCTCTAACATTTTTAAATGTACTATTTTAAAATTTTTGGTGGCAAACGAACAATCTGATTGTTCTGTATCAGTGAGTGGTGGGGAATTTAACTTCTCTCATGATCTTAAAGTGTTTTTTTGGTTTTTTTTTTTTACATTAAGCCCTATTGGAGCTTAGAAATGTGTCAGTAGTGAATGCAGTGTTCGCTGTTGTGTGTCTCGGACAGGTGCCAATTTTTGACAACCTTAATTTTATGGGAAGGAAGTATTTTTGAAGCTTTTGATTGTTGTTAATTTTTTCCTTCCCTTTTTGTTCTTTTGAGAGCTATTACCAAGAAAGTTGTAGAAGTTATCCCAGCTTCCCATCTTAATATTAGTGATGGATTAATGGAAATAATAGTGATAAAATCATCTAAGGTGTAAAATAAATGCAGTTTATTCAGCAGCTTCATAGTTTAGTGTATAAATGTCCAAAATAGTTTCATGTACACGTGTTTCATGCTTTAAAATGTATCAGACTTGCCTTAGCTGTGGTGTCACACACAGGCTGCCAAATGGCTGCGTTTTCTTCAGCTTTTGTGGTGCTAGCATCAAAAAAGCATAAAATTCATTTAAGTGGAACATGTCAGCTTAAGAGCCATGGGGCACTTCTCTGGAGGGTTTATTAGCTCAGGTACAGCTTTCCTGCACACAGATGTACTGTTTCCTCTCCTTGGTCTGGCACGATGAAGCCATAGGTTAAACCCTCCCATGCTTTAGGGATATGTAAGGAACACCATCTGCTCCTAAGAAAAAGCACACAGTTGGATCATCCACAGTAAATGTTTATAGCCGAGATAAAATGTTTTATTTTAAGCCATAAACCAGTTGCTAACTGCTTGGAAGAAAATGTTAGGAGGAAATGTTTCTTCATGCAGTGCTTTTCTGAAAAGTGTTTCGTGGAGTTCCTCAAGGTTCTGCTTCCTCAATGAATGGATTCAACACACATCAAAAATGATGAAAAATGACTTCTGCAGAAAAAAACTGTGATTTACGGTCCCATGCACTCTTTATTATGAAAAATGGAGATGGGAGTACATAGGCTGCCATTTTAAATTTACTGGCTGTGAACTTTTTATTTTGTGGAAGTAAATACTCAGCTGATCTCACATTGATTCTGGAGTGCTGGTTGAAAGCAAGCAGTTCTTTTGCTGTATTCCTTTTTCCTCCAGAGATCTGGCTCCATTTTTAATTTAGAAAAGGAAAGCATGTCTCTGACATGTAACCAAAGCTCAGCTTTTTTGTGTCAACAAGAATGCCAAGGCATTTTCTCAGTGTGCTCTGAGGAAAATGACAATATTTGAATAATTCAAAAATGCCCAAAGTTCTCAAGCTTCATTCTCAGCTATTGTTTTGCCCAGTCTATTATGCACTGAAAGGCTCAATTGTGATTGATGAACTGCCTGTAGCAGTGGAGGGAAGATTCTCTGTTCCATGTGTAACCCAGTGTGTAAAATTAATCCTGAGTAAAATGGTGGTGTCTTTCCACAGGTCGGAGAGGAAGTATTGCAGATTTTTTTGATGTAATTGCTGCATTAGATAGGCAACATTCAGCAGAGAGCAAGTGCTTCTGTTCTGCAGGGCTTAACAAATGTTGTGTATTGTACAAAAATCATAAACCTTGTGGTGGTTAGCGATGCTTAATGAAAACTGTATTGCAGGTCACCCAGGTTTCAAGACTCAGTAGATTCTGCTGCTCCATGCCTGAATGGAAGTCACCCAGCTCAGCACATTAAACAAGAATGCCCCAGTGATTATAAGGTTCTGTCTGAGGCTTCCACACATAGGAGGATTACAGAGGGGATGGAGCTGAGAGCCTCTGGTAGTCTGCATCCTGAACTAGACCTAATGAATAATAGCTTTACAAATTCACTTTCATCCTACTTGTTTAATAATGAACACAGCTCTTCCCTGGGTCCTTTGTCACTTGGCACCCCTCAGCACTCGGCCAGGCTACAAACAAGCAACCTGAAGAAGAGATGCATCTCTGTTGTGCCGTCTTCAGCTGAAGGAATCGATATTACAGCGATCATCCGCACGTCGCAGACGTCACTGGTCACCTGTGTGAATGGACTGCGAACTAACTCAGCTGGCATTTCCTCTCATCCTGTGGAGATCAGTCATCACAGTGCTCAAAAATCCTCTCAGCCCCAATCTTGCTCTCAGCCTGGAAACCCTTGCAGTATTCCCTCCCCTCCAGCATGTCTTGTACCTCTTTCCACTGAATGTGACAGAGGTGACTGTGAGCAGATACAAATGCAGCAAGCCGAGGAGAATGGCAGCCTCAGCCTTATGATGAATGGTACGAGCCTTCCTCACCAGAACTCCTCGCACGGCACCCAGAAGGTGAGTTTCTTAAAACAAGAACCAGCTGATGATTATTCCTCCACTGCTGATCTTTTTCGCCATCACCAGGGGCTGCCTCCCCCTTACCACCTGCACCAGCAGCTCAGCCAGACCCCAGGGACATTGCCTCACCTCAACGCCTCCATGTCTCCCAAGTCCCTGCAGCCCAGCGACGGCGATGAGCAGGACCTCAGCAGTGGCAAGCAGGTCTGTCAGTGGATTGACTGCAGTGCCACTTACGACCAACAAGACGAACTGGTCAGACACATAGAAAAGACTCACATTGACCAGAGGAAAGGAGAGGACTTCACTTGCTTCTGGGCAGGCTGTGTCCGCCGCTATAAACCCTTCAATGCTCGTTACAAACTGCTGATTCATATGAGGGTTCACTCTGGAGAAAAACCAAACAAGTGCATGGTAAGTCTGGATTATATTTGTTTGAATAGAAACATAACTGCTCTGCTCTCTTTCTTGCTCTCTCTTCGATCTTACTCCAATATAATTGTTGTGCTTTCCTGTAACTTAGTCTGTAGCAGGCTAAAGGGAAGCTGGAGAAAACCTTAATCTAGAAGGAAATGATTGAGTAAGAAATACTGTAGTTCTTGGAAAAGGGATTCGGTTTCCTTATATGAGGGCTTAACTTTTAATACAGTGCTTTGTTTTTTTAATATTCATTAAACCACTAATAAAGTGATGATCAAAGCACGCAGCCGTCATTTAACGTAAAACAAAGTCACTGAGCCTCGGGTGACATTTTTAATCAAGAAACATAAAACACATCTAATGAAATTCTTTTCATTCCTTCAGCTGAACAATAACCCATAGAGTTGTGAGTGCAAAAGTTTCAAACGGCAATTTAGACCAAAAAAAAAGAAACTTGCTAAAGGATTTTAAACTATTAAAAGAATAAAAAGAATATATTTAATTACATTTTCAAAGGTTGTTAGGGGCTTTTTTAATTTGCGAAGCAGAGCTTTAAAAATAAGTAAAAACCATTGTTCTCTTCTGATCAAGAAGATGTAAACAACAGCAGTGTTCCAAAAAGAGGATCTTGGGAATAACACCATCTCTGCATCTGCCCACCATGATGACAATATGGCCAAACTAAAATAAAAGTTAATGACTTCCATTAAGCTTTCCACATGTTTGAAACAACAGTGATATAAGACCCTGACTGAAACAGATGAAGCAAAACAAGTTTGACATCAGCTTCCAAATTGGGCCATGAAATTTGGAAAGTCTCATTTGTAACACCCACACGCGTGTACACACTCACACTCACACAGAGACACACAAAAAAGTGCAGACAAAGGGAATAGTTATGGCAGCAGGTTGGGTTCCTGACAGGCAGAATTTTCAGCTATATGTCTATTTTGTTGTTTTGATCATAGCATGATGCAATGGAAAATGCATGTAAGGGATGTTAGATCATGACAGACTTTTCCATGGCAGGCTGTGGCTTTCTATGGAGGAATAGGAAAGAAGTTTTGTAGAAAAAGCTTCCAGGCCTGCAATGGTTATGGTAGGGAGAAGGAAGAAAACAAGAGTATTCAAAACGTGTTGCAGAGAAAAATTTTATCTGTAAGCAACTGTCCTGATTATCTTTTTACTTCCATTGGATAAATGAAAAACATTATCTTAATGTCTGCACTGTTAGGTGGGTATTCCCGAAGATAATCCTGAAAACAGTGCATATACTTAGAGAATACCATTGAATTGTCCAAGATAAAATGGAAACACTCTAAGACTTACGTGTTCCTTTTTGCTTTGAAAGCAAGAACTGAGTGGTTCTATTCCAGAAGTGACATTTTCTAAATGTATAAATTAATTTAACTTTCCCTGAATAGATTTCTTTTAGTTATAAATTATCAAGGGATAATGCAAGTTTGCTTCTTTACAAATGAAAGTGTAGGTAAGTAAATTGGAAGCATACTTAAAACTTGAAGCCCTGATTAGTTTCCTGTGGTGCTGAAAGATCAATAGACTCCATGGATAAAGGAACTTGTCTCCTTTCCTGAAAAATGCATATTTAACAGGTATGGTATGGCAGATTTCTAATGTTGCGTTCCCATTCCTACAGAAAACTTGGTAAACTAGAGATATTAAATGCTGTAATACCTTAGAAAATGCTAAAAATGTCCTACTTTGAATTAATTTCATCTGCACTAAAGTACCAGCTTTTGATAACACATCAAGGTTTTGTGAATACGTTGGAAAAACCTTTGCATCTGATATTGCAGACAGTCTTTATGTCATATTTATATAGCCTTGGCATGTAAGTATATAAAGATCTCTTTTACTGGAGCAGTTACTGTAGTTGTTCCCATACATGGAATGGCCCAATCAGGACTGGGAGCTCTACATTGCTCAGCTTGGACTTAACTCTTCTATTCCCACAGTAAGAGCCTTCCACTGTCAGCAGAGGTATTGTGTGTTAAATGTTGCAGTCTGGAATTCTGCAGGGAGTGGATCCAAGAGAATACACAGAAACCACAGAGAGTCTTCCTCACAAATTTCGTTTTCTACCCTGAAAAGAGCTTGATCTAGCAGGGGCAGGATCCAAAGCTGCAGCACAGCTCCTTGAAGTTATTAATATCAAGTGGGGATTATTTGCCCAGTGAATTCCATTCAACGTGAAACAGGGGTTGCTGTGCAGTGATGCTGTGTCATTTTAAATGATGGCTTTTCTTTTGATGTGGTAATAATTGCGCTGTTATTCCTGCAAATTAAGAAGGCAATTCATTCTCTGTCTGTAGAGGTCTGAGATTTTGTTTCATTTTTGCTGTAGCTCTGTTTAAAGTAACTTTGCGTCTCTTGGTATTTGTAGTGGAGATTTTCTTTCGCTGTTCACAATTACCCATTGTACTTTCTTTTTAAGCCCTCAATTTTGCTCTTGCCTGTAAGATTACTGCCTGACTAGGTATTGAACTGCTCAGGAGAAGCTAACAGTGAGCACACTGCCCTCATACATAAAAGTACTTTTCCATGTAAAATTATTAATTTCTTATGACAGGCTTTGCTACTATGTACTGTAATAGACAAAGGAATTTTGGAATTCAGGCTACTTGAGAACAGGAAATACATGAGACATTTTGATTGAAAAGTAAATGGTTCACTAAAACTGCAGTTAATCCTTTTATTATCTTTCCAACAGCAGTTTCCACAATACTTTCATGAGGTAAGCTTCCTTCAGTCCAACTGTAACACTCTCATCGTTGCAGCTGGTTTGAATTTAGCGAGCCTGCTTCTTTCTTTACTACAGATACGCGACAGGCAAAACAGGATCTGGTGTGGAGCACTGCTGATGTTCCGGGTCCATATTCTTCTCACTGTGTTTCAGTGCCAAGACCGGTACTATGAGTATTCTGTTTTCATATTCCGTTAAATATTCTAATTAAGCGGTGCCTTCTCATCATTGTGTCCCTCAGTTTGGTTTTTCCTTGGGCTCTGCAAGTAGTCTAAAGGAAACTACCTAATCTCTTTGCAATATCCTGTTATGTTTCATACTTAACTCATGTTATTTTAGTTTTATTAAATTTGGGGTTCATCTGCATTATAATCAAAAATATATCCAACAAAAATAATGATGCAATGCCTTTAAGACTTTAACTTCTGAAGATTAATTTCATGCTTTTTTAGATTTGATGTCCCAGACAATTGGAATTTTGATTGTCTGAGACAGCAAAAATTAGCAAGCTTAAATGTTTTTTATTTTAAAAAAAGGAAGAGAAAAAGTTTCTCATAACTACATCTTTTGCTGCCTTTCAGTTCTTCAAATACTTTGGTGAGTAGAAGCGTGCTGATCTCCAGATATTGCATCCTTGGTTTAAGCCTCTGCTTGCAAATGTAAATACAGAGCTGCTCATTTAGTTGTCTAGAATTGTTTGATTTGGACAAATCTGTACTTGGCTTATTAGTTTACCCTCTTGTACTCTTGTGACTTCATAACGAGTAGAAAGTACATTCCCATCACTGCATTCATGTGTGCTCAGGGGCCTCCCCAGACAGGATCGAGGTGAATGATTTATCTCTATGTAATTTCTACATGTGTAATTAGTGTTTATAGAAATTTGCTATCATAATGTATGTGATAGCCATGAAGGGAGCTGGACAGGGATAATATTTATGGTTAATGCCTTTAGTTTCTGTATTTCAAAGAAACAAATGCATGCTCTGTGTGTTCTAGACCTGTTTTTCTGTGTTTGCCTAGAAAGTTAAGAATTTGAAGCAGAATATTTTTTCATGTATATATTCAGCAGACTCAGTTTGGGAGGAGTCTGAATGGAATGATTTGTGTGCTGTATTGTACACAGTGAAATTCAGCACCTGTGCTGTTTGTAGTCAGTTCTTTAGAATGCCTAAGGCTGAGACACCATAGGTACTGCATTAAACATGGGAAAACTGAGACACAGAAGATAAGTAACTTCTAAGGGTGTCTTTAGACAATTCCAGCATTCCAGGGCATTCTTGTGTTCCAATCACCACTTCACACAAACTAACAATTTGCAATTTACCGATGAAACAGATTTTGTACAGATTTCACTAAAGATTGCGCTCTGGCTGAACTGCCTGTTAGTTTTTCACTGCACGTCTCTGATGCAGGTGGTTTGACATGATGTGAGTGTGTGAGAGCTTTCATCAGAAGGCTTGGCTGCATCTGTAACACTTCATGGCAAGCAAACTGGTTATTGGGAATACTGGAGATGCCTGTGGAGCAGATTAGTATTATTGCTTCTGTTTCTGAGGAAACCAGTGCGGAATCTCTGTTCTCAGTAGATGGCAAGTCTGATGCCGTCTGCAGTCCATGGGGAGTGTGTGTCCAGCAATACAGGGTGAGAAATGAGATCTCTACAGGTCTACAGCTACAGAGGAGTCTCAGGGACAGCCCTGTATCTGTGAGGAAAATGGGTCTGCGTGCAGCAGCTTATCCGCTTGTGAGTTACTTCACCTAAACAATGAGTTTCCATGCCTGACTCGAGGGAATGTTGTGGAAGTCTGGAAAGTGTTTTCAGCTTTGGATTGGAGGGTGTCATGCACTGATGCCAAAGGAGTGCTTTAAAAAAGCAACAATAATATTGGGCTCACTTACTTTCCTTTGAAGTCAGTAGTAGGAAACATCCATTCTATCAAAGCTGCCTCACCAGAGATCTCTCTTTTTATTAGGTCTCTGATGGCATTTCCCGATACTGTCAAGGAACGTCAGCATTCAAAACACTCTGATTAGAGGAGTAGACAGCAGTTCAGTGGTTTTGTGGAAACACAATGTTTGTTTGTTTACAAAGCCCACTGCAGATTGCAGGGCAATACAAATGGGTTTGAGCGTGCCCCAGCACTGGAGGGCAGGCTGACAATGGGCTTTAGGCTTGGCTCTCTCTCAGCTCTTGTCCATCCAGCTGGTGAATTTGAGCTCGTGTCTG